TCCATGTCGTCAGGCCGATTTCCCTCAACCTTTCTTCATAGGACATTCCCCTCAGCTCTGGAACTAACCTTGTCGCAAACATTTGCACTTTCTCTAATTTCTTAACGTGCTTGACCCGGTGCGGGTTCCAAACTGGTGCTGCATACTCCAGTGGGGCTGACGTACACGGTGTACAGTGTCTTGAAAGATTCCTTACTTAGGTATCGGAATGCTAATCTCAGGTTTGCCAGGCGCCCATATGCTGCAGCAGTTATCTGGTTGATGTGTGCTTCCGGAGACGTGTTCAGTGTTATACTCGCGTCAAGATCTTTATCCTTGAGCGAGGATTGCAGTCGTTGGCCACCTAGCCTATACTCTGTCTGCAGTCTTCTTTGCCCTTCCCCATCTTCATGACTTTGCATCTGGCAGGGTTAAATTCGAGTTGCCAGTTCCTGGACCACGTGTCCAGCCTGTTAAGGTCTGGAAATAAATGGTATAAAATACCGACACAATGGCAATATAAACACAAATGCAGTATAATGTGATCCTTTATTGACTACGTTTCGCCCACACAGTGGGCTTTTTCAAGTCACAAACAGAACTACCTGGGGTGGAAGGAACGCGAGTATTTATAGTCCGGCTGAGGTCAGGTGAAGAATGCTGCATCTGATGATGTACCGAGTTGGGTTGTAGAGTCTAAAAACTTGGGTAGCTTGGAAAGGAGACTGGACAAGTTTGTGAGCAGATCTTCTACAGTGTTCTTATGTGGGATAGCGATGAAGGAGTTTCTTGGCAAGTGGTTCAGCTATGTTATAGAAGCCACTATTCTGGTTGAAGTTGTCGGATATAGAAATAAGTGATGATTCCAGGATTCTTCGGTATTGAGTGTTGTCTTCTGTGGCGATAAGTCTTGAGTTTCTGTAGTTTATCAAGTGGTTGTGTGAATTACGGTGTTGTACGCAGGCATTCTTTGTGTCGTCAGACCTGCTTGCGTATTGGTGTTCTGAAATACGTGTTTGGAGGTCCCTTGATGTTTCGCCCACGTATAACTTGTTGCAGTCATTACAAGGGATTATGTATACCCCTGCAGAGGATGGAGGCTTGTCCTGCCTACTACTGGTGATGTCCTTGATGGTCGTGGTTGTGGAGGTAGATACTTGGAATGATGTTTTGGCAAAGATGTTGGAAACATGTTTTGCAATGGAGTTGGTGGGAAGGACTATGTATCTCTTCTCGGCAGTGTCTTCTCTGGGTGTGTTGAAGATGTTTAGTGCTCGCCGTCTGCAGTCTCTGATGAAGTGACGAGGATAGTGGAGTTTGGAAAATACTTGTTCAATTATAGTGCATTCTTCCTCAAGGAACTCGTTGCTGCAGATTCTGAGTGCACGCAGGAAGAAGCCTATAATTACACCACGTTTGGTTTTGGTGTCGTGGTGAGAGTAGAAGTGGAGAAGATCGTTTTGGTTGGTGGGTTTTCGATAGACTTTAAAACGAAGTTCGTGGTCAGCTTTGCAGAGTAGAACATCAAGGAAAGGAAGAGTGTTGTCGACCTCTTCTTCAAGTGTGAACTGGATTGAAGGCTCGACCTGGTTGAGCTTGTCTTGGAGAGCTTGAACGTTGAAGCGTTTAGGAGTTATGAGGAGAATGTCGTCAACATAACGGAGCCAGGTGACAGACGAAGGAATAATGGTGGAGAAACGTTCGGCTTCTAGATGTTCCAAGTCTATCGAAAACCCACCAACCAAAACGATCTTCTCCACTTCTACTCTCACCACGACACCAAAACCAAACGTGGTGTAATTATAGGCTTCTTCCTGCGTGCACTCAGAATCTGCAGCAACGAGTTCCTTGAGGAAGAATGCACTATAATTGAACAAGTATTTTCCAAACTCCACTATCCTCGTCACTTCATCAGAGACTGCAGACGGCGAGCACTAAACATCTTCAACACACCCAGAGAAGACACTGCCGAGAAGAGATACATAGTCCTTCCCACCAACTCCATTGCAAAACATGTTTCCAACATCTTTGCCAAAACATCATTCCAAGTATCTACCTCCACAACCACGACCATCAAGGACATCACCAGTAGTAGGCAGGACAAGCCTCCATCCTCTGCAGGGGTATACATAATCCCTTGTAATGACTGCAACAAGTTATACGTGGGCGAAACATCAAGGGACCTCCAAACACGTATTTCAGAACACCAATACGCAAGCAGGTCTGACGACACAAAGAATGCCTGCGTACAACACCGTAATTCACACAACCACTTGATAAACTACAGAAACTCAAGACTTATCGCCACAGAAGACAACACTCAATACCGAAGAATCCTGGAATCATCACTTATTTCTATATCCGACAACTTCAACCAGAATAGTGGCTTCTATAACATAGCTGAACCACTTGCCAAGAAACTCCTTCATCGCTATCCCACATAAGAACACTGTAGAAGATCTGCTCACAAACTTGTCCAGTCTCCTTTCCAAGCTACCCAAGTTTTTAGACTCTACAACCCAACTCGGTACATCATCAGATGCAGCATTCTTCACCTGACCTCAGCCGGACTATAAATACTCGCGTTCCTTCCACCCCAGGTAGTTCTGTTTGTGACTTGAAAAAGCCCACTGTGTGGGCGAAACGTAGTCAATAAAGGATCACATTATACTGCATTTGTGTTTATATTGCCCTGTTAAGGTCTCTTTGAATGCCTGCCTGATCCTCATCTGATTTAATTCTCCTCATTAATTTCACATCAACTGCGAACAGGGACACCTCTGAATCTATCCCATCCATCATGTCATTCACATATACCAAAAATACCACTGGTCCTAGGACCGGCCCCTGTGGGACCCCACTCGTCACAAGTGCCCACTGTGATACCTCATCACGTACCATGACTCATTGTTGCCTCCCTGTTAGGTATTCTCTGATCCATTGAAGTGCCCTTCTCGTTATACGCGTCTGATCCTCTAGTTTCTGTGCTAATCTCTTGTGAGGAACTGTGTCGAAGGTGGCCTTGCAGTCCAATAAGATGCAATCAACCCACCCCTCTCTCTCGTCTCTTACTTCTGTTACTTTATCATAAAACTCCAGAAGGTTTGTGACACAGGATTTGCCTTCCATGAAACCGTGCTTGTAGTCATTTATACTTTTGTTCCATTCCAGGTGCTCCACCACTCTACTCCTGATAATCTTCTCCATGACTTTGCATATTATGTACGTCAGTGACACTGGTCTGTAGTTTAGCGCCTCTTTTCTGTCTACTTCTTTAAAAATGGGAACCACATTTCCATACCTCAGGTAGTTGCCCAGTTTCAAGGTTTGTGTTGAAGATTGTGGTTAGTGGTACTCACAGCATTTCTGCTCCCATATGTTACATAAGAACATAAGAAAGGAGGAACACTGCAGCAGGCCTGTTGGCCCATACTAGGCAGGTCCTTTACAATCCATCCCACTAACAAAACATCTGCCCAACCCAATTTTCAATGCCACCCAGAAAATAAGCTTTGATAACTCTATCCAAGTTTTTCAGTTCTTTATCTTGTCGGTTTTCGAAACCATTCATCACAATAATGAAGGAATTGAAGTGATTTTCGCAATATACATGAAGCAAAGACTTTTTACAAGATTACGGAAACAATTTTGAAAAATCCCAGATATATTTTACCATTTGTGGGGGTAAAAAGCCGATATTTTCCTAGTGAAAAAAAAAAAACTTACAACCAGTAATTTTGGGGGTATATTAAAATATTTACAATAATAAAATAAACGGATTTTCATTGTTTAATTAGTAGGAAGTGTTCAAACAACTTTTCACAGTGCCATTTTGTCGGACTTGGCTGCTAAATGTCAGTTTTATTAATTTTTATTATACATTTTTGCTTTTAATTTTTTGGGGCAGTTATATTGAAACTTCGTCACAAAAACATTCACATAAGCTTCTGAAAGTAAGCTAAAAATGAACGATATCAAACAATAAATAATCAAAGAAAAATTATTGAGGTCGCCCCTTAGGTGCATATGGGTCTTGCAGGCAAGCGTTGGGTATGAGTGTGAAGACTCCCAGGTGTAGCAAGGAGGTCAGTAAGAGATGGTTGCAGGAGGTCTTGAAGGAGCACCTTGCTGAGAGTCATCCTGCTGGTCAACACGACGTTACTACCTTCACTATCACCCCTGGTTAGTAGTAGCAGTACCTTAAACTCATCCTGGTTGAGGAAAATGCTGTGCATGTAATTTAATTAAATACATTGTTGGTTAAATTTAATTTGGGAATTAAAAAGGGAACCAGCAGTGAAATGTGAGGGAATTATTCGGTAGCTCTGGAGGTTAAATGTGGTTTGAGCCTCTCAAATAGGAGCAAGAAGAATTGGAGTTACAGTCCTGCAGAATGTGAGAAACCAACGACCTGGCAGGATTTAGAAATTAGATGTTAAAAGTATACTGCTAAGTATACTGCACTTTATATGATGAACTTCTGGCCAGTTAGTTTCCTCATATCTAGGCAGGGGTTGTGTGTGACCTAGCTGCACTAAGCAATCTCCAAACAATTTTGGTGAGGGTTGGTAACAAATACCTTCTCATGAGATGTATAAATACATGTATTCCTTCTTTCAGTATAACATTATACAGTCCACATAATTTTTATGTAAATATTACCAGAATTGCATAGTGTTTATTAAATTTAAGGTTAATATAGGTCCAGAGTAACTTGCGAGATTGTATGAGGGTAGTGGGTATCGAAGGGTGATATTCTCCTGGTGACCTAGGGTGTCTCAAAATATTCCTTCATGCCTCAGAGTTATAGCAGTTGGTAATAAATAGTTATCTTTGTTGCCTTCATTAACTTGCTGGTATCAATATAATGAGGTTCATGCAGGTAATTATTTCCCACACTGGTGGCCAGCATGATGTTACTACCTTCACTATCACCTCTGGTTAGTAGCAGTAGTAGTAGTTGTCGTAGTAGTATTAGTACCCAAGACTCATCCTGGTGGTGAACACGACGTTACTACCTTCACTATTACCCCTGGTTAGTATAATAAAAATCAGTCTCTAAACTCACGTCAGTAGTAGTAGCAGTAATAGTAGTAATAACAGTAATAGTAGTAATAGCAGTAATAATAATAATAGTAGTAATAGTAACAGAATTAGTAATAATAGTAGTAATAAAAATAGAATACTAGTCACCATAGTAGTCACCTGCACAGTAGTCACCTACACAGTAGTCACACAGCAGTCACCTGTGCAGTAGTCACCTGTGCAGTAGTCACCTACACAGTAGTCACACAGCAGTCACCTATACAGTAATCACATACACAATAATCACTTACACGGATCCAAACCTACGTCTAGAAAAAAATAACTGTGGCACGCGAGGAAAAGGAAGAGACGATGTAAACTAGAAACAGAAAGGCGCTCCCAATAGAGGCGAAGAAATAGCAAAGATTGAACTTATGCTAAAGGAACCTTACAGGAATCAAGAAAAATGGGATGAAATAAAGGCCACAAATGAAATTGAAAGAAACCCAAATTATTTATTTTCTTATGCCAGATTTAAGTCGATAACAACAACCAGTATTGGGCACCTACTTAGACGAGATGGGTACTACACAGATGACAGCAAAGTAATGTGTGAGCTAGTAAGTTTATTCAGGTATACACAAATACAGTATCATAGATTATCATACATAGCAGCATATGTGCAGAGAACCTAGGATAACCCCAAAGAGTCAGACAAAGTGACATATTTCCATAGGGCTCTCAATATGACTCAGGTTTTAGTGAGCCACTAAGGCCACAAAGACCTAAATTAATCTTTTATGAGCGAGACTCAGAATTTGGTAGATTCAAACCTATCTGATATCATCCTAACACCAAATGACTTCGAAAAAGGCGATAAAAAACATGCCCGTGCCCCCTGCCCCGGGCCTATATTGGGGAAAACTCCGTGATAAATTAAAAATCCCAAAGAAACCTTTTCACGTGCATTTAATTTCTGGGAAATGGGGACATGAAAAAAGGAATCACTCACAGCGCTAAAAACAACAGACATAAAACCACTCCAAAAAGGGGGCATTTAAAGCAATAGCAAATAACTACAGACTGATAACGTTAAAAAATCCCATATCCAAAAAAGTCTTTAAAAAAGCTTTTCTGAAAAGTAAAATCCCCACTCATCTAATACCTTAAATACACAACCTAGGGAAACGGGGGTTTTTAGAGCGGGGGTTTCCTGCCTGTCCCAAATACGGGCCCACTATGAAAAGGTGGGGGATGCCCCTAGAAGACATCCCTTTACAAATTGTAAAAAAAAATTTTGCAAAAGCCTTTTGACAAGTCTGACCTTTGTGTAAAAAAGCACACAAAAGGGGGGGTGAAAAAGGGAATAACAGGAAAACCCGGAAAGATGGATCTAAAATTTAGAAAACAATTTAAAATCTGAGGTGGCTGCTGTGAAAAGCCCCTGTTCCAAAAATCGAAACAAAGCAAAAGAATCTTACAGGTCAAAAATGGGGGAAGAACTAAAAGCCTTTAAATGAAAAAAAAAACCCCAAAACTTTTAACCCAAACCCAAAATTTGGGAACCCAGTAGGGGCCCCTTTGACGGGGGGGGGTCCTACACGGGCAAGGGCAAAGAAAATAAAACAAATTTACTCAAGTCCCGTTATGACTCGGTTTTTAGTGAGCCGCAAACCAAATGATTTCGAAATCTCCCTGGAGTCCTGGAGTTTACCGGGATAGAGTTCCGGGGGGGCTCGCCCCCGCGGTCGGTCTGAAAACCAGGCCTCATGTGGATCAGGCCCGGGATCAAAAAAAGCTTTACTGCTGGCCCCACACAAACGGGCGTAAGAAACTACCCCCCGGTGGTCGGGTACTGATTTTAAAGGTGTTTGGCCAGTCGCTTTTAAAAGCCGGGGGTTTCTATTGGTAACCCTCTCTTGAAAGGGCTGGAAAAGGAAGTTGAACAGTTTTGGGGCCCCCGGACACTTATTGAGTTTCCCCTCTTGTACTTCGTGGCGGCCTCTGCTTTTCAGGGGGGAATGTAACTTTCTCCCCCGATTTTTTGTTTTTAGGGAGCGATTTTTCCGGTGCAGTTTTTATCCCCTAATCCCTCTGGGGATTTTCCCAAGTGTATAAATCATTTGGGGGGGGAAAAGTTAAATTTGTTTGGAGTAGAGAGGGAGTATATGGGAAAATAGTTTCATTGTCCGGCTACTTTTTAAAGGGGTGGGGTAAGTCAACTCCCCCCTTTTTTTTCCCCCCACCCCGAAAAGGGGGAAAATTTTAAAAGGCCGGCTGTTTTAAGGAAAGGGTCAGTCTGCCCCCGATCCTTTCCCCTCCTCCTTCCCCCCGCCCCCAAAAAAGGTGACGTGTGGGGCTCTGGTCCAAATAGTAATCACTAGACTCCAGCTCCCCCCTTTACTGTAAGAAACTTTCCCTTGCCTTGTTTTCTAGTGGATTTATTATTTTAAAGTTTTCATTTTTGGGGAAACCAAAAATTAAACTTAGTTTTTCCCCCAGCCTTGCCTATTTTTGGATTTGTTTTGAAATAATCACCACATTTTTTTAGGTATTGTACTTATAAAGGGGAGAGGATTTTTTAAGCAGGGGGAAACCTTCTATCTTTTCAGTTTGGGGATGACGGAGGGTCACCTGTCAATAAACCCGAGCAAAAGGGATGGAGATGGAAAACATCCTGGACTTCCCCTTTTTGGTTTTAAATTTACCTGTGCACACTGTATAAAATTGCAGGACAAAACCCCCCAATCATTGCCCGGTAAAGAACCTCTTTCCTGTCATCGGGATAAAATTTACCCCGGCTATACTGTGAAAAACCCTAGCCAGGGGTGGGGAAACCCAACCCCTCGCCCCCCCCCCCCCCCCCCATCATCACAACGGCTACGGTTTCAAAAATTTTCCCAGTGTCCCAAAAACCGACCCCCCCTTTTACAATTACTTTTGAATTCAGTTATCTTAAAAATTTTTCATTTTTCTTTTTCTTTAATTTTAGGTTTAAATATTTTTCCATTTTTAAAAGTTTTTTTATTTTTTTATATTTTCTATATAACAAAGTGTTATGTTTGTCGGGTTTTTTATTTCTTTTTCTATTCTTAATTTTTGAGGGGGAACCCAAAGCCTTGGTAATACTGCCCTGAATTTATTACAGGGCTAAATTTAACCCCTTCACAATGGGGGACCTTCCCAGGATAAAAACTGACAGAATAAAGACAGTTCCATCTCGAATCTACCATTGGAATTTCAATGCGGGGAATACCACAGATGGTTACCCCCAGCCAGAAAATTTCTTTCCCTCTAGGGGTAGGAAAAAGGGGACAGGAATTTAAAAAAATTGGTGTTTTTTATAGTCTAAATTTACTGTAAGTAAATTTCGGGCAGGTTTTTAAAGTTAATTCTGCCACTTTCTTGTGAGCTTAAAAAACTTTGGGGGATTAGCCTGGGGGAACCCGAGATTTCCAGTGACAATTTGTTTCATTGAGCCTTTTTTTTTATAAAGGGGAACTGTCGTTGGACACTTTTGTTTTGGGTTGGGAGAAGTTTTGGATGGTAAAGGGGACCCCATTCTACTTACTGTTTGCTCGGACCCGGGCTAACCCTTGGGTTTTTAATTAAATATATATTTTTTAAATTGATGCGGGGTTCGAGCCCTTTTTGGTTTATTTACAGTTTTAACGGAGGGGAAAATTAAACCCCTCCATTTTTTTTTTTTCCCCGGTTTCATTTCCCCCTGATAGTTTAAGTTATTCTTCCCAAGCTTGAGGAATCCCGGGTTTGGATGAACGTTGGAAGTAAGTTAGAAAACGGGGAAAAAAATTTTAGAATTTTTCCCTTTAGTTTTAAAAACCCAGGAAAGACTTGAAAGGGGGGGGAGAAAATTTGAGAGAGAAAAAGAGACGGGAAAGGGGAAAAAAGAAGAAGAAAAGGAGAGAGGAGAGCAAAATCAAAAGAAAAAGGAAAAAAGGGAGAGAGGAAAATTTGAGAGAAAACCCAAAGCCATTTAAAAAGGGGAAAAGGGAGAAGAAAAAAAAGGGGCGTGATAATTGATCGGGGAAGAAAGGGGCTAGAAACGGGGGGAACGGGCCCTAAAATATGGGGAAAAGGGAAAAATAAGAAATTTGAGGAAAGAGAAAGGATGAAAGTTGGGGAAAAAGCTAGAG